GTGTCCTCTCCTTTAAGTATTCGTTTGGCGTAGGCTATAATATCAGTAATCCAAGTATCAGTTCTTTGTGTTAGTTCTGCAGCTTTTTTGGCTTCTGTGTCACATTTTTCGTTTTTCACTACACCGCAGTGACCAAATATGAATTGTAGTCGTATGCGGGCCTTGCGACGTTGCACTTGAAGGAGCAGGTTCCACAGGAGACGAAGTATAGGGTCTTTTACGGTCAGTGGACCTGTTTCCAGTGCTGTGAGAAGAGACAGCGAGTCCGTGAAAATGGAGACCCTGCATGGCGTTGGGTTATTTGCAGGAATTATTTTGAGGAGTCTCCGTAAACCTTCGTATAGCGCTACGGATTCAGCTGTATAGCTGCAAGCTAGGGGGCCAGCGCCTCTATGTGTGGTACAGAGCAGTTCACCATCTTTGTATATCATTGCTGCTGCTCCAGATTTTACTCCGAGAAATACGGAACCATCAGTCCAAATTTCATAATGTGTATGCGGTGGCGGTTCGGGGCCTTTACGGCGGAAGTGTCGAGCTATCCAACGCTCGGATGCTTCTCTTTTCAGTTCTTCAGGGTCATCAGCTGATACGTTTTCCAGTGATGTGAAGAAGCGAGCGCGTTTACTGAATCTTAATGTTGGAGTCAGTAGAGGTGGGCTCGCGTGGCTCTATAACGAGTGTTGGATAGATCTTCATGATGCGTACATAGAATTCGCGTACTGGATGGGTTTCGTGATAAACTTGTTCTGCGCTTTCTTTGAGAGATCCACCTCTTGTTTGACAGCGCATTAAATATTTGAGGCTCCGAATCATGGCTGTCATCTCTAATGGGAGAAGACGGGCTTCACGTAATGCGTCGGCGGAGCGGCATCCATATGGAATACCTGCTATGGTGCGGCAAGCTTTGTTCTGGCCTGCATCTAAGAGTTTTCGTGATGTGGGAGCCGCATCCCAATACCATACTTCAAAACCGTAAAGTGTTTGAGCTTGAACTAGTGTCAGGTAGAAGGCTCGTAGGACATCACGTTTCGGTCCCCATGTGGGTGAGGAGATCGCTGCAAGTTGTAGTAATCGAAAGTTCATGCGTTGTCTCGTTTGTACCACATGGGTAGACATACCACGAAAGTTCTGGAATGTGATACCTAGAAGTTTGGGAGTCTTCTCCGGACCGACGGGGGTACCGTGGAGTTCAAGAGAGAGAGGGTGCGGGTCTGTTGATCCAAAGAGGGTGTATTTCGTCTTATCTACGTTGATTTCCATAAAATAGTTCTTGGACCATTCGTCCACTACGTTAAGCCCTTGTTGCAGTGTACTGTTGATGATGTCTCTGTTGATATGTCGCGCTGCTAGTGTCAGATCGTCTGCAAAGAAGCCATGAAACAGTAAGGGAACTTGAGATAATCGTTTGCTTAGGGTGTTCATGACGATAATGAACATAAGTGGGCCAAGAACTGTTCCCTGTGGCACACCGCGGTGAAAGAGCATTAGGGGAGAGGATTTACTGTTTACGCGTACTTTGGCTTGGCGTCCTTTCAGAAAAGATGCTGACCATCGTATAATGTGTGGTGGGAGTTCCATCTCTCGCATCGCGCTAACAATTCGATCATGGTCTACAGTATCGAAAGCTTTAGCGTAGTCTACGAATACTGCGCCCGTTCTCGAATCTTTGGTAGGTCTCGTGAGGGCTGCGCGTAAATGCAATAATTGGTCTAGTGTGGAGTGGCCAGGTCTGAATCCAGATTGTTGTGGGGTCAGTTTGGTTTCAATAACGTCTCTAATGCGGGCTGCAATGATCCTTTCCATGAGTTTGGACAGACAGCTGGTGAGCGTAACTGGTCTGAATGAATCTAAATCTGTGGCTTTCTTTCCGGGTTTAAGGAGCGGTACGATGATACCTACTTTCCAAGAGACGGGAACGACACCAGTGCGGAGACTCTGGTTGAATAGAGCGAGGGTCTCTGCTTTGGCTCGGGGTCCCAAATGTTGGAGAGCCTCGCCGTAGATCCCATCAGGACCTGCAGCCGTCCCTTTAGGAAGGAGACGCTGCGCTCGTTCCAGTTCTGCTGCTGTAATGGGTATGAATTCTGTATCGTTCACTGGAATGGGCGGAGGAGGGTATGAATGTGGGTGTCGTTTAGCTCTTCGCGAATATAGACGGATAAAGTGCTTGGCTTTCTGATTTTCTGTGAGTACCGTATTGTTAATCTTTATCGCCGGGGTACTTAAGGGGCGTGGGGCGTATATCCTCTTCAGAATGTTCCAGCAGCAGCCATCTGCCACGGCCATGTTATTACAGAGGGTTTTCCATCTCTTATGGGAAGCTTGTCTTAGTATTTCTCTCCTGCGTGCTACCAATCTATCTCTATAGACAGAGGGTTTACATTTGTGAATCTTCGCTTCGATTTCATCTAGTTCTGGAGTCCAATAAGGGGCAGTATCTCGACCTCCGCGGGGAACCGCCGCAGCTGTTGCGATACGGATGGCGGAGGCGAGAAGTCGTTCTCTCTTGTGAACGCTCATTTTCTCTTTAATTCGTTTGTTGCACTGTGCGTTTGACATTTGTCTAAAACGGGACCACTTCGCCTTCTTCCATGCATAAATGGGGGCGCGGGGGCGAGGGAACCGCAGTGGTTCATCATCATCTCCTACTACTACGTCGAAGAGGATGATATAATGGTCGCTGTCCGGGGAGAAGGATGCCGTCCAGGACTCTACACGGCATTCTCGGGATATTGTCACATCTGGCGCGGACGGGCCATGGCGGGTGGTGTGGCGAGTGCAATCTCCAGTGTTGTGAATAATATAGTCATTGTCTAAGCACCATTGTACTAGCACATCGCCACGGGTATCGGGGGGGGATCGCGCGATCCCATGCCAATGCATGCGCATTAGCATCTGCACCAATGAGGTGAGGTCCGCTTGTTGTCAAAAGCGTGTCAAGTTGCGAAGTTGTGTATGATCTCCCCGGAGGGAAGTATGCTGACGTCACTGTGAGCGCCAGACCTTCTGACATGTGGATCGTTGCGTGGGCATGCTCAATGCTCGCAACTACGGTTAGTCCTACTTCTACTGGCAGATCTTCACGCACAAGAATCGAAACGCCGCCTCCTTTAGAGGGGCGGGACACTCCATGATGTTGGTAACCAGCGATTGTGAAACTCGACACTTCCGCACAAGATAGTTTCGTCTCGCTTAGAAGACAAAAAGTCACATTCTCCTCAACAAGGGTTTTGTGGAGAGCAAGCCTCTTGGCCTGGGTAAGTCCAGCTGAGTTCCACTGCAAACCTCGCAGTGAAGGGCCGGGATTTTCCTCTACATCACCACTCAGCAGTAATCTGGTGCAGATGATACTGCTGATAGCACGTCGACACGTGCCCCAGGACCTTCTTGGATATATTTCTGCCCCAGGACCTTCTTGGATATATTTCTGCCCCAGCACGACGCGGCTGGTCCCGGTGCTGTACAACGCCGTAGCCTAAGGGCCAACGGGTCTTCCACAAGAAAAACGTCGCTGGCTCTTGGCTTCCCCCGACAATACGAAGTACTGGACCTTGGCACCACGTTGAGGTGGCCGGCATTGCCAAGGAACGTCCTTGTACTAATCCTACTAGTCAAAAACAAC